ATCATTCCTCAGAGGGTATAAGACCATTTTACCCTTCCTTGACCTAAAGTCCTCATGTTGACCAAAACCCTCAAAGTGAACAAAAGTCAACCCTGAGAGTACGCGGGGCGTACATCGCCAACCCAAGGATTGGGGTCTCCACCCAGTACGCTGCGCGTACTGGAAGTTACGCCCAGCGTAACCATCCGATTCTAACACTATTCATTCTGGTCTTAATCGGTTAAGCCATTACTCCAACTTCTAGATCCGACTATGTTAATGTGTCTAAACCCATAAAGTCGAGACCTTTAAGCCTTGGCATGGCTGTAAAGGCTCCAACACCTCTTAACAACATTCTATTCCAACTCAAGGACCTAGATCTCATGCATGGAGCAATATTCACGTCCAAGATGTCATTTTTATGAGTCTACAACTCCAATAGACTAGAAATATAAAAGATCTAAGCTTATGGAGGCTATTTGCACAAAAAGTCTCCACCTTTGGGACTAAAACCCTAGGAAATGGTACTTGAAGCATATATCATGAACCAAATGACAAGATCCGAACTTTTTACCTGATAATGAAGGTTTAACCCTTGCAAAGCTCAGATCTACACTTGAACACCACTTCTAGCCTTTCCAATGAGCTCTTCTTCTCCTTTGCAACCTTGGAATGGCACCACCAAGCTTAGAATATACACCAAATGGCTTAAGAACGAAGGCACACTCTATTTAGGGTTTCACTCTGAGGGATGGTGGCTGAGAAGTCCAACCACACATTCCTTTTTATAGCCCTCCAAGGAATTAGGGTTTTTAGATCTGGGCAAGTTACGCCATGCGTAACCTTGGGTACGCCCAGCGTACCTAAGGGTGAACGCGTCCAAATGAGGCGCGCGAGTACGCGCAGCGTACACCTTGTACGCCCAGCGTACTCGCTTATCATGAAAACCCTAAAATGACAACATAACCAAAATAGAAGAATACCTGGATTTCGGGCTGTTACACACCTGCACAAAGGTTCTTGAATCCCTGCTTCCAATTTTAATCCCCAGGGTAGCTGTAGGTTCCTTTGGTTTTTCTCTGAAGGTCCGTCTAATATTGGATCTTTCCTTTTGGTATTTGGCGAGGTTGGTGAGTAGAGTTACTCCACGAAGGCTGACACCTTTCATTTTCGCTTCCAAACTGCACGTGTCATACACTCCAACATACCGTATAAAAGCGAAGTTCTGATTACGTCAATTCTTCTTCCCTCCAATGTAGATGTCCGATAATTGTCCAAATCTGTCAAAGACTCTTTGCAAATCCATTTTACAGGTACCGTCTGGAAACCCCGCAACGTAGAACGTGGAAGTATCGTTCGTATGTCTCTGTTTTCTCTGCCTGCAAATCTTTGACCACCCATCTCCGGTTGTCTCTACAAATCGCTGACCGCCCATTCCTTGATGATCACAAAAAATTCTATTTCATCAAGTGGTGGAAAGTTGATTCGAACACTGCCACTATAATTGATTAAATAGTTGAAATGTATTTATCTGATCCAATATAATTCACAACGATTTCATCACTTGCGACTTTTTTCACCAGGTAATATCCCATTTGATAATCATTAATATCTAGAGCTTCTAGCCTAACCATATCAGGTGGTGCCCCTCTATTTGAGATTGGGGAAGTGATTCGTATACAACAATTTTTTGTCATACATAACAATTTATGCATTATGTAGTTTTACAATACAATTTTAAATCGTTAATTGTTGTGTATGGAAAACAATTGTTGTGTACGAATCAGTTCTCTTGAAAATCTCGTCATGAACATAAGTGGTATTAAGTATTAGATTAAGGACAAAACTACAAAATTGGTCCCCGTGGTATTCAAAAAACTTTGAATAAGGTCTAAAAAGTTTCCAACTTGCATGGATAGTCCAAAATCAAGGTTTTTCTTTGGTTTTGGTCTTGGAAATATTAAAATGTCCATTTTACCCTTATTATTTCTTTTTTCTATTTTTTTATTGAGTTTGGTATTTAAAAAATTATAAAAAAATAAAAAATAAAAAAATAACACCCTACCCCATCGGTACCTTTTCTCTCTCTCTCTCTCTCTCTCTCTCTCTCTCTCGCTAGCTCGCTCTTTTCTTCTTCTTCTTATTCTTCACATGCAAATTAAAAAAAAAACAAAAGAGCAACCCATAACCCCATCGTTCTTCCATTTGACTTTCTCTTTGTCCCTCTCTTTCATTCTCTCATACAAAACCTGCAGCTCAAGAAAAAATTCTGAACAAATTTTTTTTATGCGTGTGCGCTTCGTTAGAAACCAAGATCTCCGATGAACACCAAAACTCCGATGAGCACCGAAACTCTAAGATCGCCCCTGCAATCTTCCCCTCTCCCTTTCACATGCAAAATCTTACTTTAACCTGCATCATCTTCCATTTCTCTATCGACGTCTTCCTGATTCAAAACTCTTATACACTAATTAACACACATGCATAGATATATACACACACAAACACTTTACAATCAATTTGCAGGTGTGAATCTTAACTTTACAAGCCCTAGATTTGCAATATCCATGGTAGTCAACCCTAGAATTTACAAGACCCGTGTTGAATCGATTCAAATCGATTCATTTGGTTTAGTTGGACCTTGAACCTGTGATTGAAGGGTAAGACTTCCATGTCTCTCCTATCTTCTTCTTGACCAAGAAACCCATCTGGATGAATCAGGTGAAAAGATTCAGAATCTGGTCCATCCATAATGCATTCATAGATTGAATTGATTTGAACATAAGATGGATAGGTTTATCTGGGTTCAGAATCGCCTCCAGATTCAAATCGGAAAAATGGAATAACGCCAACACCCACAGTCATGGATTAAATCGATTCTGGTGAGTTATGGCATTCAAGGGCTAATCGGGACAAATTGCGAACCAAATAGGGCTGCGATGGTGGCCGAAGATGGTGCCGATGACCACAGGTTTAGAGGATCATGGTGGTGTCATTGGGTTTAGGGAGGAGTATACGAAAGGAGAGGAAGAGTATGAGTCGTGATCTTCTTAGTCATCGAGAGAGAGAGAGAGAGAGAGAGAGAGAGAGAGAGAGAGAGAGAGAGAGAGAGAGAGAGAGAGAGAGAGTGTGTGTGTGTGTGTGTATGTGTGTGAAATGGGTCAATTCTTTTCTTTTCTATTTTTAATTGATAAAAGATTAAAATAAAAATAAAAAAAATACAAAAAGGAAATTAGAAGGGTAAAATTGTCCTTTCGGGTTTCCCTAGGACCAAAAACACAGAAATTTCTTTATTTTAGGACTAAAACCACAAAAAGTATTCGATTTTGGACATTCCATGCAAGTCGAAAACTTTTTGGATCCTATCCAAAGATTTTTGTAAACCACAAGGACCAATTTTGTAGTTTTGCCTAGATCAAGACCACGTTAAATTTGTTGGTTAAAAAAATGATAATGAATAGTGATTTTTTTTTTTTGAACCGGATCAATAGTGATTTCTATCATGCACATGTTTAGGCAGTGAAATTTTTGGGTTTATAGCAATTGTATTATGCTAATTTTTATAAAAATATTGATTTAAAATGATTATATAAATTTACAAAACATTTAAAAATAAGATTTAAGAAAATATAATATTTTGGAAGTTATTTACACTTGTATATTTTATTTACAAATATCATATTTTATTGTTTATTTATAAGAGAAAGTGACTATAATAACTATTTTTTAAACTTTTTTTTAATCATAAAATAGCCATAAAAATGGAAAATTACCAAATTAGCCATAATTTTACCATACCACCATTTGCAAAAAAATTTGGTTGGTATGTTAAAATGTTATTTTTTAGATTTTCATACGTTAACATCTACGAAAATCTAAGTTGACTATGAAAAATATTTTTTTCCTAGATTATTGTACGTCACTCTTTTAATTCGGATGAGCCAAATAATATGATGATTATAATGAAGTTCGTATGTAAAAATAAAAATGTTTTTTTCTTTTTAAATTATTTTTTAAGACTTTTTTAGGATACCATTGTAATTGGGAGAACAAAATGGTATAACCATTGTTATGAAATTTGTATCCAAAAGCTATGATTTTTTATTTTTTATTTTTAAAATTTTTTTTTTTATAATAATAATTTTCACCGATATCCCATTTTGAAGATAAGAAAAAATATAACTTTTTGACATTTAAATTGAGAGAGTAATATATCAATGAAAGTCATTGTTACAAATAACATAATGAAAAAAAAAAGTTCAAATGAAGTTTGTTTGCAAAATTTATGAATAATAAAAGCTAGATTTTTTTTTTCACCCATTAATAAATTTTGAAGCTAAAAAAACACGACTTCCCTATATTCAATTTTTGAAGTGTAACATGTCTATGAAATCCCTTATTATAAAAAACACCATGAAAAAATTCGGATAAAAAATATAATAAAAATTTTATAAGGTTCAAATTTGTAAAAAAAGTATAGCCATTCGCAAAATTCTATATTTTCGGAAATTGACCACATGCGAAAATTATGGCTATCTTAATATTTTTTTAACTTTTTTTTTTTTTTTTTTTACTATTTTATGGTAAAATCCGAAAACACATCATTTTTCCGATCTATATTCTCCGAACTTTTTATTCACTTTTTAATAAAAGTAATATATTTAGATTTTTTTTTTTTTAGAAAAATCAAAATTATTACGTCTTACTTTTGATACATAAATTACAATTTATCCGTTTAAATTCGAGTCGGTTTTATAGCTCTATAAGCCGTCCATTTTGCAAGCTTGAATATTACATGTATCAAATCAAATCCTCTGCCCGCCTGCTCTCCGATTAATCGCTGGCGTAATGAATGCGATAGCGGGTAACCATTAAAAGTTCGTTTGGGGGTAGTTGCATCTTCACCCCCTTAAAACCCCCCCTCAATTCATCACTTCTCCTCCAACCCACAGTTTATCCTTTCTGGGTGTTCTTCAATTTCCTCTAATTCATCTGGGTTTTGTTCAATTTCCTGGTCAACAATGGCGGATTCACCTTCGGAGAGAGCATCTCTGCCGAACTTCCTCTTATCTGTGAAACTCAAATACGTGAAATTAGGTTACCATTACCTGATCACACATTTCATGTACCTGTTATTAATCCCAGTCCTTGCAGTCGTCTCTGTTCATCTATCAACACTCACATCACAAGATCTATTCCATCTATGGCAACAACTTCGATTCAATCTACTCTCTGTTATCATATGCTCAACTCTAATCGTCTTCCTAGCGACACTCTACTTCATGAGCCGCCCAAAGAAGGTTTACTTACTCGATTTCGCCTGCTACAAACCCGACGAATCTCACATCGTTTCTCGTGAAACATTCATGAATCATTCAGCTCTCGCCGGGACTTTTAGCGAAGAGAATTTAGCGTTTCAGAAGAAGATTCTCGAACGATCTGGATTAGGTCAGAAGACGTATTTCCCTGAGGCGGTGTTGCAGGTTCCGCCGAATCCGTGTATGTCGGAAGCTCGAAAGGAGGCGGAGATGGTGATGTTCGGCGCCATTGATGAGTTGTTGGCGAAAACTGGTGTGAAGGCGAAGGATATTGGTATACTTATTGTGAATTGTAGCTTGTTTTGTCCAACTCCTTCTCTTAGTTCCATGGTTGTGAATCATTACAAGCTCAGAGGGAATGTTTTGAGCTATAATCTCGGTGGGATGGGTTGTAGTGCTGGATTGATCTCCATTGATCTTGCCAAACAACTTTTACAGGTATTTTCGTTTTCTTTTCTTATTAATTTTATTCTTGTGTGCAACTTTTACAAAGTGATTATACTTTTCTTCTTTATTTTTTGAATCTTCATTATTTTCAAAAAATGAAAACGATGATCGTACTATTTTGTATCTATGCAAGTAGTGCTAACAACGTGAAATATATAAATCTAAAAAGTACACTATGAATTATATTTTATTGGATCTCATAGCTGTAAATCCGGAGATACAAGTTAATTTAAAAGATTTTATGTTTCATGATTTCTTGGAAACTTCATAAATTCCAAACGAATCGATTCTTTCATAGTTACATCGGTTTTATCGAATCCTTCTTTGAAGTTTTTTAAAAGTGATTCGATTTCTATTTTGCTTAACTTTTTCTTGGGTTTAATTTGATAAAATTTTCAAAAAGCAAATGTATTTATGTATGTAAGAATTGCCGAATAATTTACAAGTTGTGGCTTTGAGAGCATCTTCATAGTTTTTTATTATGTAAGGACTTTTTTATTTTTATTGAAAGGACTATTTTATATGAACTTTAATCACACGTTAACTTAGTAAGGCCTATTCAGTAAGAATTTTAATCGTACGATAACTTATTGTGTAATTCTTATCTATTTAGTAAGCACTTTTCATTTCATAGTAAAGGACTATTTAATAGGAATTTTAATCATATGATAACTTATTAACGACTACTTAATAATAATTTTAATAACGACTATTTAATAAGAATTTAATCAAATCGAACAAAAAGAAGACGACTTAAGCAAAGTCAAACCGACCAATCTAAATTACTTGAAGTAGGATACATAGAACAAATCGACTAATCTAAATTACAAAATTATGACCTAAACTTTATTCAATTAAAAGTGTTCACACAATCCGATTTCAAAATAAACCAATCTTTAAATTAGTCCTTTCAATATTTAATATTTAGCAATGACTTTTCATTTTCATAGTACATGACACTAATTTCAAGATGGGTTTATGCGTATGTGTGAGTTTTTATATACATCTGATCAAGGATTATAAAATTAACTTGGATACAAAATTCCATGGTTAGATTGAGTGTTGAAATTGGATAATCTTTATTTATAATTATTTAATTTAAAATTGTTAATATGTGTTTTACTAGGTCGTATAAAAAATAAAACTAACGTAATTACTAGCTTAATAGGTCGTGATACAATCAGAGAATCGTCAAAACAATTTTATACTAAAAAAAACACTTTTTTTTTTTAAATTGCTACGTATATTTTGAAGAAGAAAGCATATTTTCATGGGGTGATGTCATTACTTTTTTTTGTCACATGTGGGGTAGAATTCTGGACTTTTTTTTGCTTTATACTTGCTTATATGGCATGGGGCCCACCATGGGCAATACCTACCATGTGACTAATAGTCCAAATGAGAATTCCCCTTTTTCAGGAAGTATAGATCTAGATCATGGACAAGCTGGCCTTAATATGGCTACTTTTCTCTTCTTTCTTAACTTCCTAAACTAGAATAATCAAGGTATCATCACAATAATTATTCTAAATAATACCAACCCATTTTACACAACACTTTTTTGATCAATTATTTGAAAACGAAATTTAATTTAAAATTAAATTAAATTTAATCTAATCCATTTGTTTTGTTAAAATTAGGTACAACCTAATTCCTATGCTTTGGTGGTTAGTATGGAAAACATAACATTAAATTGGTACTTCGGGAACAATCGGTCTATGCTCGTGTCGAACTGTCTATTCCGAATGGGCGGTGCCGCAATTTTGTTATCTAATCGATCATCTGATCGCCGCCGCTCAAAGTACCAACTAATCCACACTGTCCGGACCCACAAGGGTGCAGACGACAAATGTTATAGTTGTGTTTTCCAAGAAGAAGACAAAGAGAAAAACATAGGTGTTGCTCTTTCAAAAGATCTCATGGCCGTAGCCGGTGAAGCCCTAAAAACCAATATCACCACCCTCGGGCCGCTAGTGCTCCCCATGTCGGAACAACTCTTGTTTTTTGTCACATTGGTTGCAAGAAAAGTGTTTAAATTGAAAATTAAACCGTATATTCCGGATTTCAAGCTTGCGTTTGAGCATTTTTGTATCCACGCGGGAGGAAGAGCAGTGTTGGATGAATTGGAAAAGAATCTTGAATTATCGGATTGGCATATGGAACCTTCTAGAATGACATTGTATAGATTTGGGAATACTTCGAGTAGCTCATTGTGGTATGAATTGGCGTATTCAGAAGCTAAGGGCCGGATCAAGAAGGGAGATAGATCGTGGCAAATTGCTTTTGGTTCGGGTTTTAAGTGTAATAGTGCAGTGTGGAAGGCTTTGAGGTCTATCGATCCGAAAAAGGAGAAAAGTCCATGGATTGATGAGATACATGAGTTCCCGGTTCATGTACCTAGGATTGAAAAGATTGGTTCTTAAGATGTTGTCTTTTTTTTTTTTTTTTTTTTTTTTTTTTTCTTGAGATTGAATAACTTATGGTTTGTATTGATGTTATGTATTATAGAAGTCATTAAAGGGAAAAGTACAATTGGCCTTTGGTCTTTCCTTGTGATGGATCGTGGAATGTGAAAGTGAATATTAACATTTACTATTGTCAGAATTATAGAATATTTTAATTGAAATGGGTTCCTTATGTAAAATTTATACATGTGTTAGAAAATCTCGTAAAAAAATACAAATGTAAAGAGACCTCGCAACTATGATGTTCGTAGGTCAAAGACATACCTCCATTTCAAAGGTATAAATGTATAGTCGGTTGGATAGATTTAAGGTTGCGCACAAAACAAACTCCACAGGATTACTGGAAATACAAATCCGGATTACATTAGTATCAACATTGAAGGATGTTGGGACTCAACTCACCATGATTTTGAAGAGGTAGATTCAAACGGTAGATCGGGTGGATTGATATCAATTTGGGATACATGTTGCTTTTAGAAATTGGAAGTCATCAAATCTCTTTTTTCGAATTGTTATTGGTTATTGGATTGGTGTCATAGGCAATACAATCTTCGCCTACGTCTATGCTCCATAATCACCATCTGGGAAAAAGGTTTTATGCACTGAACTACTTAGAATCAAACTATATATACCAAGAAAATGCATAATATTTGGTGATTTTAATGTTGTGAGCAAGGTTCTAAATGACGTCAGGGGTGACATGACAGCAATACAAAGCCTCAAACTTAACGAGCCATGGTATTTTTCAAGGTATGATATAAGGCAACAATTTTATATTAATTTATAATTATATTACCACATATATATAAATTTGTATTAAATATAACTACTTTTTAGTAGTGTTATAATAATAACTAATAACAAAAAGTTAATAAAAAAACACAATAGTTATATCTCCAATTAGAAAAGACATAACAAAGAGCAAAAAAAAAACATGTCTCAGACGAAAAACACGTGCCATAACATGCCGTAACACACCATGGCACGCCATATCACGCCTTGCCACACATCACACCCAACAACAACGTTATGCGGCTTTTCGTAACGGCGAAGTCACGCCTCACTCTTTGGCGCTCCTTGGCGTGGGTCATTTCACGCCTTTTAAAGCATTGGTTGTGAGACAAAAAGAAGAAAGATACAACTCACATTTATGTGCTAGTGCATATGCCTTCAATTGATAGATACAACTCACATTTATATCCTATTTCATATGCCTTCAATTGATTCATACTCGAGGTTGATTTACAAGAGTTTAACATGGGTGGTGAGAGGTATACGTACATGTCATGTGTTGATGCCAAATTAAGCAAATTAGATAGGTTTCGAGTTTGTTCTAATTTTTTGTCTGTATTCCGTGATGTAATTGTGATGGCCATTCCTTGAGGGATGTAAGTACATGTCACGTCCAATGCATCTTCAGCCTATAGAGTACAGTGAGTACGATCCAAACTCGACAACAAAAACTAATTGGTATTCGCATACTTGCAAAGTTCTGTCCAAGTAAACTTACATAATTGGGTCTTATTTAAGATCTTGTAATTCAAAAAACACCCTCTTAGTAGACCAACGATCCTTCCCGCTAAGAATCAAGTTGGTATACCTTGTCAATACACCAATGACATCTATAAAACAACACAGCAAGTAATTTAAAAATGCCAAGACAAGCAACACAAATTTAAGACTAACTTTGCTTTCAATACATAAGACTACTTTAATTGAAAATTCAAACTTAAGAACTAAAGCCTTCTTGATAGTAGTTGAGATATGGTTCCACTAAAATTATCACAAAACAAAAGAAGCTTAAAAGATTGTACCAAAGAAAACAAAACAGAGAAAACTTATCCATGATAAATCCACACCTTCTCATCCATTAATACAATATGAATATTGTTCAATTCAGATGACTTCAAGTAAACATGTTGCTTCCATAAAAGAACAACACACCCCTTAAACTTCAAATCATCGACGTCGGTATTCAACTCACTAATCAACCGATATTATGAACCCATATCAAATATGTAACATCTGTGTTTCTCACTAGGCATTATTAAAATATGTAAGTGATGTTGGTCAACAATTGTATTCTTTACACGAACAAATAATAGGAAATTGTTTGAATCTATGTGATTTATGAACTTATATTATGTATATATAATATTAGGCGAAATCTTAATAAATTGGGCTAAAACAAGTATTAAACTAAAATATTAATTAGGATAAATAACCTTGATGAAAGTTGAAGTAGTCGTAATGAGGATTCCCGGGATATAAGAAAATCTAAAATCTGACTTCGTATTAAGAAGTTATAATCGTTTGAAGTTTCGCGTTCAACCAGATACGACAAAGTACGTTGTAAATAGTGAAGTAAAGATATGTTACTTATTAGCCTAAGTAATCTAAACAAAAGTCATAGTACTCGTAAAACCAAGAGCATGTACATAGAGAATGCCTAAATTCGACTTCATATGAGGAAGTTATTTATTTTTGAAGTTTTAGCTCAGTTGTGTTAGTGCAGAAATCGAAATTCGAATATGTCGATTTTTAACCGAAATAATCTAAACAAAAGTCAAAGATCTCGTAAATAAGAGTTTATCAATATAAAGACAATTGAGAACGGATGTCGTATGGAAAAAAGATATGAATTTTGAACGAAGTTTAGCAATCTAAAATTTCTAAAATAATAAATAAAAATAAATTTAGTATTAGCCAGCAGAGTCTAAATGAAAGTTGCAAATCTCATCAATAGCTACATATTGATGTAAAGAATGTCAAAAATGGAGTTTGTATGAAAATGTTATGAATTTTTGAAGTTTTCCCGAGTGCCCCACACACAAAAAGGCGCAATGCGCCTCTACGGTGTCCAAAACAACCTATAAATACCCTTCATTGCTCATTTGATTTCCTACACCTTTTGTAACATTCTCTCTCGAGTTTCTACTTCCTTAGCCCAATAAATATTAGTGTTTAGGATATTTTAAGGAAGCCCTTAGTTCCATAAGTGCTCAACATTAGTAGTTATTAGGTCAGAGTTCTGCCAGTTTAATTTCTCGACTTTTGTTAGGAAAATCTATGTAAGTTAAGCTACACTTATATTGTTTTTAGTGTAACTTATATCTATATTCATAGTCGTTGTTATGAATTTATAAATAAGATTTATTAGTAATTCCAAGTCATCATACTACTTGATCTACTTACAGGGGTGATGTCTAGGCTAGAGTTAGTGAGGTGTTTAAAGTAGGATTTCCAAAGAATATACTTTGTATACCAAACAGACCCTACCCCTTGTATGATCTTACATGGTTGCTCCTTACTTGACAAATCTTGATGTAGACATTGAGATTTTTAAGAAATATAGACTATCATTAGTCACCATGGATAAAGACTAAGACTTAGTGATAATTACACCTAGTTCACGTAAGAGGAAAGTCTAAGTGCTGAAGCGAAGCGCTGCCCCACTTCCAAGTCATACACTTTAACAAGTGAGTGCATAGTTACTTTCAACTTACACATTGATATGTGCATATTTAGTGTGTATTAAGTGTAGTTTATTTATTCATATATTAGCTAAATTGTTGCATATTATGGACAAAAGGTACTTAAAAGTGTTAAATTATGTTTTTCAGTCCAAAGATGAAGCTCGGAAGCGAAAGGAAGCAAGAGAAGCGGTTAGGAGCTCAAGAGTGGAAAGAAGAAAGAAAACATCCATAAAAGGCTTCTACTCATCGAGCTGACCCTTGACTCGACGAGTCCGGTCGCGGAATCAGAAAGATAATCATTCGGAAGTCAAGATAGTTATCGGATTACGAAGAATGTGAGAAGGACTCGACGAGTCACCTTATGACTCGACGAGTCGGAACGCATATATAAAGATAACTCTACAATTCGAGAAGGGAGAATTCTGGGAAATTTCAGAAGTGCTTAGCTGCGAATAAGAAGCCAGAAGAACCCTAGAAGTCGACCAAAGAAGCTAGAATCCAATCCCGGGAGTAATTAAGGCATAATTTCATCATTCTACTTAATTCTTTTGTTTTGTCAACATGATTAAGCAACTTGAACTTATTTGTTTGCTATTATTTACCTTAGTTATGAACTAAATCCTTTAGACTTCTGTTTGGGAATACAAAGTTGACAATATGGTTTGATTAATTGGTAGGATTAATTCCAGGTTGGTGATTAATTGTTATTTTAGCTTGCTAAAGAACCTTGTGTATGAATGATAATTAATTTTCTGTTAATAGGAAGATAATTGATTAGCATGAACATCTATTGATTATCAACCTCATATGATATGTGACCACTATACCATATGTCTAGAATTAATGAACATGAAACTAGGATTAATAAGGAAATTGAGTAAATTCATGTGCAAGCTTGTAAGATGACCATCAAACAAGAGGTTAATTAAGAATAACGAATTAATTAGCTATTGCAAGTCTAACTTAACCCGAATAATTAATCTAGTAAATATAATTAAATTAAGCAATTGGCCACTGTTTGAATTAGTTTATTTGCTAAGGATTAGGGTAGTGAACACAAACCTAATCACTTGAATCGGTAACCAACGGAAAAATTAATCCATTGCACTATTACCTTAAAATCAACCATAAAGTTAACCGAGTTGAACTAAACAGAAGTTTCTTTCCCATTATTGAATCTAGTTAATTTGTTCTTTTCTAGTCTTGCATTAGTTTTAGTTAGTAAGTTTCTAGTCTTGTAAAACTAGAGAAAAAACCCTTATTTGCTTAATCAACTTAGATAGAATTAGTTTTTAATTTAATTTGCCGTTCCCTGTGTTCGATACCCTGCTTATTTAGCTATACCACAATTGATAGGTTCACTGCCTTTTGTGTGTTATTTGATAATTAAAGTAGGATTAAAACTAAGTGAGTTTTACACACATCACACATAGATATAAAGTATCTAGATGATTAAATGTTATGTGTTCCTATTATCTATAT